GGGTTATAGGGGATTTGGGCTGAGGAAGGGGTTGTAGGGGAGCTTGGGGGCTAAGAAGGGGGATTGGGGGTCTTAGGAGGAGGATTTGGGTGGTTGGGGGGCTCTACAAGGTGAGAGAAGTGGGGGGCTGAGAAGGGAGTTATAGGGGGATTTGCAGCTGAGGAGGGGGATTTGGGGGCTTGGAGCGTGGAGCAGGGGGTTACAGGGAGGTTGTGCCTCGGACCCCCCCCTCACCCACTCCCCCCTACTTCCAGCGAGCCCTGTGGGTTCGAGCCCACGTACCAGGAGCTGGCGAGCGCCGTGCGGGAGGAGTACCCGGACATCGAGATCGAGTCCCGCCTGGGGGGCACCGGTGAGGCCCCACAGCGCCCCCGGGGGGCTCTTGGGGGGCACCGCAGTGGGGGGGTCACACCTGCCCTCATGGGGGGCTGGGGGGGGCTGAGGTGGCTTAAACCCCGTGGTGAGTCTCGGGGGGGGAGTCGTGCTGTGGTTGCTGCCCCTCCCTGAGGTCGTTTTGGGTGCAGAGTTTGGGGTCTGGGGGTCTGCAGAAGGCTCTGGGGGTGCCCTGGGTGCTGGTGGCGATGTGGGGGGCACAGTGTGGGGGTGTTTGGTGGGGGCACAGCTCAGGGCTGGGCCCCCTGTGTGCCCTCAGGTGCCTTCGAGATCGAGATCAACGGGCAGCTCGTCTTCTCCAAGCTGGAGAACGGGGGGTTTCCCTACGAGAAGGACGTGAGTGTTGCTCTGGGGGTCCCATCCTGGGGGTCCTGGGGTCAGCCAGGGTGGGCCAGGGTGGTTTGGTTTGTACTGAGCCCCCCCGTGATGGGGTTCTCCCAGAGGGGTCCCTGTTTGGGACCCCTCACGATCCCAGCGGGAGTCGTTCCCCTTCCTGCCACCCTGCCAGATCCTGCTGGGATACAGTGGGAGGGGGGAGAGGGGCAATTCCTGCAGCTCCTGCCTCGCCGTGGCCTGGATTTGTCCCTGTGTGACCCCCATGTGGGTGTCCCAGTGCCCCCAGCCTTCCTGCAACCCCCCAGTGTGACCCTGCCCGTGTCTCCCCAGCTGATCGAGGCCATCCGGAGGGCCAGGAATGGGGAACCCCTGGAGAAAATCACCAACAGCCGCCCCCCCTGCACCATCCTGTAGCCCCCCGGGGACATCGGGGTCCCCCCACGCCGCCCCTTGCTGCCTGGGATAAATTCCTGTGACCCCAGGGGGGCACTGGGGACATCAAGGAGGACCGGGGATGTCGGGGCCCCCCTGTCACCCCTCGCTGCCTTTGTTAAATTCCTGCATGCGTGGAGGGGGGGGTCCAGGGACACTGGGGGAATTTGGGAGCCTCCTGGGGCCCCCCATTGTGGCACTGGGAAGGGCAGGGCTGTGGCACTGGGGGGCCATTCTGTCCCATCCCTGCCATGGGATGATGGCCTGGGGGGTCCCCCCACCTGCCTTTGCCTTCCCCCCCCTCCCCTCTGTCAGCTGCACCTCCCTGGAGGGCACAGGGGGTCCCCCAAACCCCACAGCCCCCCAGGGCACCCCCTTTCCTGCAGCCTCCCCAGCAGGGCAGGGGGGGCTTTCCCCCAAACCCTTTGGACTTTGGGGCCCCCCGTGAGTGGGGGGGTCAGGACGGGTGTTGGGGGGGGGTCTCTGCAGCTCCCAGGAGGTGAATTCCAGAGGGAAATCCACTGGCTGGGCCTTTCCTGGGGTTGGTTAAGGATTAAACAGCTCTGTCACTGTTTAACCCGGGCAGGGGCAGGGGGGCCCTCCCGGCCGTGGCAGCCCCAGCCCAGCCACGGGTGTGTTTGTCCCTCTCCCCTCCCCATTCCCAGGCTCCTGCTTCCTGCCTGGAATGACCCTGCCCTTGGCCTCGGGGCGGGGGGCCCCCTATTTATTCTATACTATGTATAAACCCAACGGTCGGGGTGGAGTAAAGGATGGAGCATGTGGAATAAAGGATGGAGGATGTGGAATAAAGGATGGAGCGTGTGGAATAAAGGATGGAGGATGTGGAATAAAGGATGGAGGATATGGCTCCTCTGTGTCCCCTGGGAATGGGGTTGGGACACAGGTCCTGTGTCCTGCTCAGGATCAGTGGGATGAGGAATTTTACCCTTCAGGCAAGTGGTGGGAGGGGAAGGGAAAGGAAATGGATGGGGAAAGGAAAAGGGAAAGGAAAAGGAGCATGCTGGTTCTTAGGAGATGGAGCTGAATCTGATGGAAAAGTGGGAATCAAACAGACAAGGAGAGTAGAGAGAAAGGGAAGGCAAGGGACATTCTGGTCCTCGGGAGATGGGCTGGGTCCGACGGAGAGGAGGGAACCACACAGACAAGGGGAGTAGAAAAAACAACCAATGTACAATCCTCAAATATACATCCCGGGGCTTCCAAAGGATCCCGGGGGAGCCGGGACACGCCCGGCGTCCTCAGCTGCTCTCAGTGCAAGTCCGTGTGTCCCCGGTGGTGGCACAGACACGGGGACAGCCCTGCAGTGGGTGGGGTGACGGTGCCAGTCTGTCCTTCCCCGGGCACCATCCAGGCACCCCCCAGTGTGGGGGTCACCGCAGGGGACCCTTCTGTCCCCACACCTTGCTGTCCCTCAGCGTCCTGGGCTCTCCCAGCCCTGCGTGGCCGTGGCCACCCCCGGGGGGCAGAGGGGACAGTGCCCAGCCCCGTGGCCGTGGCTCGTCCCTCCCTGAGCTGCCTCGGCGAAGTTGGGGGGGTCTCTCACACGGCGGCGGCGTCGGGCCCGGCCAGGCCCAGGTACTCGGGGTTCTCGGCCGTGGGCGTCGTGCTGGGACCACCCTCGGGCCCCCCGCCCTTGGGGGGGTCCTGGTTCCAGTAGTAGGGGTTGTCGAAGGCCTGGCTGAAGGGCCCGGGGGGCGGTGCCAGGTACTCGGGGTTCTCCACAGCGTGGCTGAAGGGCCCCGGGAACGGGAGCTTGGGGTCCTTGATGAGCCCGTTCTTGCCCTGGTGCCCCTTGGGCTTGTCTGGCGGGGACGGGGGCGCGCGGGGGGGACGCTCCCCGGCCTGGTTCACGTACTCTGCGGGGCGAGAGACACGTCAGGGACCCCCTGAGGGGGGTGGGGCAGGCAGACACACACCCCCCACCCACCTGAGGGTCCCACCGTGTCCTCCCTACCTGGCATGGTGCTGTGGGGGGCCGCGGCGGTGAAGCCCTCGGGGTCCTCGCTGTCCTCGGCCGCCAGCCCGGTAGGATCCTCGCTGTACCGGGGCAGGGGGCCGGGCTCCCGCCCCGGGGGGCTCTGCAGGGCTGCCTTGACCCCCCCATCCCCCTCTGGCACCTCAGGCACAGGGCTCTCCGGCCCCTCCACCAGGCCCTGGGCGGGGAAGGGGAAGGAAGACAAGCCCTCGCCTTCCTCCACCTTGGCCGGAGACTCTGCCGTGCTCTGGGAGTGGGACAGGACACGGAGTCACCCCGAGGACTGTCCTGGTCCTGTGGGGTCACCCCACAGCTGTGCCAGGAGCGAGGGGTCCCTCCCTGCCCCCAGCCCACCCCCGTACCCGCATGGAGGAGATGCGGCTGCGGTAGGTGGTGGAGGTGTCGGCGCTGAAGAAGCCGTGGTGAGGCACCAGGTACTCCTCGGCATCCACCAGGTCGTCCATGTCCTCCTCCTCCAGCAGCGCCCGGTAGAAGGTGCTGTCCATGGAGCCTGGCAGCCCCACCAGGTCGTTCTGGAGGGGGACACACCGGTCAGTGCCCACCCTGGGGTGCTGGCAGGGGCGACAGGACCCCCGGGGCCCCCCAGGGACCCACAAACCTGGATGACCACGAAGCGCTGGGGGTCCCGGGCCATGCGGGAGAACTCGGTGACCAGCTCCCGGAACTTGGGCCGGCACTCGGAGTCGATCATCCAGCCTGGAGAGCAGGGCACCGTCAGGATGCACCGTCAGGGCCCCCATGTCCCTGTCCCCTCCCTGTGATCATGTGTCCCCATGCTGCCCCCATGTCCCCTCCCTGCATCCCCTGCCTGCACATTTCACCACGACCATGTGTCCCCATGGTGTCCCCGTGTCCCCTGCCTGCACATTTCACCATGATCGTGTGTCCCCATGGTGTCCCTGCCTGCACATTTCACCATGATCACGTGTCCCCATGGTGTCCCCTGCCTGCACATTTCACCATGATCATGTGTCCCCATGGTGTCCCCTGCCTGCACATTTCACCATGACCATGTGTCCCCATGGTGTCCCCGTGTCCCCTGCCCGTACATTTCACCATGATCACGTGTCCCCATGGTGTCCCCTGCCTGCACATTTCACCATGATCATGTGTCCCCATGGTGTCCCCGTGTCCCCTGCCTGCACATTTCACCATGATCATGTGTCCCCATGGTGTCCCCTGCCCGTACATTTCACCATGATCATGTGTCCCCATGGTGTCCCCGTGTCCCCTGCCTGCACATTTCACCATGATCATGTGTCCCCATGGTGTCCCCTGCCCGTACATTTCACCATGACCATGTGTCTCCATGGTGTCCCCATGTCCCCTGCCTGCACATTTCACCATGATCATGTGTCCCCATGGTGTCCCCTGCCCGTACATTTCACCATGATCACGTGTCCCCATGGTGTCCCCTGCCTGCACATTTCACTGTGACCATGTGTCCCCATGGTGTCCCCGTGTCCCCTGCCCGTACATTTCACCATGATCGTGTGTCCCCATGGTGTCCCCTGCCTGCACATTTCACCATGATCATGTGTCCCCATGATGTCCCCTGCCTGCACATTTCACCATGATCACGTGTCCCCATGGTGTCCCCTGCCCGTACATTTCACCATGATCATGTAGACGTCGATGGTGCAGATGGGTGGCTGCGGGAGCCGCTCCCCCTTCTCCAGCAGGTCCGGGATCTCCCGCGCGGGGATCCCGTCGTACGGCTTCGCCCCGAACGTCATCAGCTCCCACACGGTGACACCTGGAGGGGGCAGGGGCGGGGGTGGGGGTGAGCAGCGCCCTGGGGACTCCCCCTGCACCCCCCGGGGGTTGGACACCCCAAGGTACCGTAGCTCCAGACGTCGCTCTGGTGCGTGAAGCGCCGGCGGAGGATGGACTCCAGCGCCATCCACTTGATGGGGACCTGGCACAGGGAGGAGGGGGAGGTGAACAGGGCTGGGGCGGGGAGCTGGCTGGCACTGAGGGGGCACCGCGGTGCCCTCACGCCGTCCCTGTGCCCCCACCTTGCCCCCATCAGCGTGGTACTCGGTCTCGTCGATGTCAAGCAGCCGCGCCAGCCCGAAGTCCGTGATCTTGACGTGGTTGGGGCTCTTGACGAGGACGTTGCGAGCGGCCAAGTCCCGGTGCACCAGCCTCACCTCCTCCAGGTAGCTCATCCCCTGCGGGTGGCACATGTCTGGCTGTCCCCGGCCCGCCCCAGGACCACCCCCCGGTCCCCCCAGAGCCCCCATCCTACCTTGGCGATCTGCACACACCAGTTGAGCAGGTCCTGGGAGCCGATGTGGTCCTTGTTCTCCCTCACGTAGTCCAGGAGGCAGCCGTAGGGCATCAGCTGCGTCACCAGCTGCACCGTGGAGGTCAGGCAGATGCCCAGCAGCCGGGACACGTAGGGGCTGCCCACCCCCGCCATCACATAGGCCTCCTGTGGGCAGGGGGGGTCAGGGTGGGGGTCAGGGTGGGCAGGGCTCCTGGCCCCCCTTCCCCCCGGCACCGCTGTCACACTCACGTCCAGGATCTCCTTGTTGGCTTTGGGCGACGTGTTCTCCCGCAAGACCTTGATGGCCACCGGGATCTTCACGCTCTCCCCGTCGGGGATCCAGATGCCCTGAGGGGGGGACACACAGGTGAAGGGGGTGTGGAGCGGGGAGGGTCCCACCCCACCCCGGTGCCCCCCAGCCCTCACCTTGTAGACGGTGCCAAAAGCACCAGAACCCAAAACTTTCACTTTCTTGAGCTCGGTCTCCTTGAGGATCCGCATCTGGGCTTGGTTGGGGAGGGCCCCGCTGGGCGTCAGCGGCTCCACCAGCTGTGGGGCACAAAGGGTGAGGGGGGCTGGCTCCTGGCACCCCCTGGGCGCTGGGGGGATCCCCCACTGCCCCCCGGGAGGTCCCACCTCGGTCTCCTGCAGCAGGCGCCTCATGGTGTGCTTGCGCTCCTGCTGCCGCCGGCGCTTGACGCAGATGACGGTGATGAGGAGCAGGACAATGACCAGCAGAGCCCCCACCACACCAGCGATGATGGACGTCACCTGGCTGGGGGACAGGGGGGATTGGGGGTGGGATGGGGTGATGGGGGACCCCCAGCACCCCGAGGGGCAAGGGTCAGGGTGGGACAGCTCATCCACGCTCCTACCTCGGCTTCTGGTCCACGGGACACCCGTCCTCGTCCCGGATGGTGCACCTGGGGACACAGCGTGTGGCACCTCGCTGTCAGCACCCCTCTGTTGAGAGCTGTGACACCACCCCCCCCCAGCCAGGGACCCCCGACTCACGAGTGGGTGCAGTTGGTGGGGCAGAGCTGGCACACCCCGTCCTCGTCCGGGTATTTCCAGACGGGCACGAAGGAGGCGTCGGCCTTGACCCCGCTGGGGCAGCGCCGCACGCACTGCTGGGCGTCCTTGTAGTGGGCACAGGCCACGCACTGGTCTGGCTCCTGCGGGAATTTGGGGAGGTTTGAGGCACCCAGGGGTCGGGGAACACCCCCTGTCCCACCCCTGGCTGTGTGTTTTCCCTCCCCTCACCGATCCGAAGCAGGTCTCGGTGCCGTTCTGGGGCTGGCACTCGGGGTGGCACGGCAGGCACCGCGTCCCGTTGGCGTGTTCCCGGACAGCTCTGCAGGGAGAAGGCACAGGGATGAGGTGCTGGACCTGGTCCTGGTGGGGGGAGGGCTCTGTTTGCCATTCCCGAGGGTCTCCACTCACCCATCCAGGAGGTTGCAGGAGGCCACGCACTCCTGGCCGCGCAGGAACCGCTCGCAGGCCACGCACTGGGTGGGGCCGGGGCCCCAGCAGTGCCCGTGGGCGCAGAGGTGGAAGCAAACCAGC